GGAAAAGAGAAAGATAAAGAAGAAGAAAAAAGAAAACCTCTAAACTTAGATCAAGAAAGAAAAAGAATTCGAGCAGACTATTTGAGACTTAGAAGTAAAAAGACCAAAAGAAGACTCAAGACACTTTAAAGAAAAGAAAGCTTATAGAAAAATATTCTTAGAAGAGTCTATTAAGAAAAGCTCTCAAAAAGTAGAAAAACACCACGGTACTGCGAAGCAAGAAGAAAAGACTATTAAAAAGAATATAAGAAGACTTCTAAGAGCTGAGTTATTTATTAGAAAAGATAAACTAAATTGGAAGAAAAAAAGAAGAAAACATAAATATAAACAAAAAAATTCTGGCAATTTTCTTTTATTAAGAGATAAAATAGAATTACTTGTTAAGAAAAAATTAGTTTTAGATTATTGTTTTAAAAAAAAGAATAGTTTAGTAAAGGAAAATTGCCAATTAGATATAGTCAAAAATTCTTTGATTTGAAACTATCTTGCTATAGTTTTGCTAGCTAGCTTGATATAGCTCAAGAGCAAGCAATAGCCTTAACTAGTAAGGCAGATTGTACTTAGATACTCTTAGAGAAAGTCAAGTAATGTCAGATCTACAATTTAGATAGTTATAGAATATTTTGTGTATTTTTTTTAATTTAATAAAGATACTAGCAAGGCTGCTGATACTTAAAAAAAAAAAAGATTTACTACTTGACAACTCTGTTTATAGGTTTATAGAAAAATATTCTATAATTGGTTAATATAAATCAATTGTTCACAAAGATACTATATCACAATGTCCAATTGGTTTTAATTTTTTTAAAAATATATCTAAATTAGAGTTGATACTTGAAATAAAACCTATCAGAAAGTACTAATTTTAGATTTTTTTAAAAAACTAAAACTTGAAACCTGAAATCTAAAATCTAAAACTATAGTTGATACTGTTAAAATATATATGCATACTGTATAAATGCATAATTTTTTAAAAAAATTTAATAATAATATGCATTTAAACAGTAAATTTTCTAGTATTTGACTGGTTAATACTGTTTAAATACATAAAATTGATTTTTTTGTATTTACTGATAGTATGCATTTAGACAGTATCAACTGTATAATCTGTAACTCTGAAACTATAATAAAAACTATAATCTGAAATCTCAAAAATATAAATTAAAAATTTTAAAATTATAATATATAAATTAAATTTATTTTTATAAAATATTTAATAAAAATAAATTAATACAAATAAAATAATAATAATAAAAAAGAATATATTTTAACTAATAATTCAAGATTTTAACTACTAAATATAATTTTCTTTTCTTGTAATCTATTCACAATAAACTAAATTCTTTTACAACTTGCTGTATATAGAATAATTGCAAAAAGTTTAATTTTAAATAATTATAAATATAATAGTATTATTATATATATTTTTATCAACTTAAAGCTGTATCAATATTTGGTAAAAAATACAAAACAACAACTCTTCTCAATGATCACTCATACCAAATTTACAACTAACAAAAATAGAAAACTTGTTGAAGTAAGTAGAAGAGATGACTACAAGTAATGGTTTTTACAGAGGTTAGGGCTTTTTTGATTGTTTTTTTCTAAACTTCTCTGTATATTTAGCAAGCAAGTTAAAAGCATTTTTGTACAAGATAACTGGCAGAAGGTAGTACCTTTGTATAAAAAATTTAAATAGAAACATAGCTTCTGCTGATGAAGTGAAAGATAGTTGGTCTGAAGAGAAACAACAAGCAAGTTTTCAACATATTCCCTATCAAAGTTTAAGGCTACCCACAAACTGAAACCCTTTACCAAAACCCCACTATCTGTTCTTTACAAAATTTCACCAAAAGTAGAAAATTCAGCATACCCTATCAAAGGATCGACAACAACAATCGCTACTAAAAAAGAAAGTTATATACAGGAGTATGTAGCTACTTTTGAATAAAAAATATCTGATTGGTTACCTCAAAAGGTTGTAATATTTATACTGAGGCTGCCAGAAAATAGAAAATGTCAGCAGTCATCAACTTTGCCCAGAAACAAGCATAAGCATGAGAATGTATTGCAGAATACTGTACCAAAAATCTGGTAGAAATGCAAGAGAAATTTTAAACTTGGATCTCTACTCAAGAATAGATATTTTATATATTTTAATATAGATATAAATAACTAGCATAGAGTTTAGACTAGTTTATTTAGTAGTACTATATAATTTTTACAATATGGCACAGATTTAATAGTACTATTTTTGTTTTTTTTCTTTTATTTTGTTTTTTCTTTTATATATTATTTTGGTTTTTTGTTTGTTTAGGTAGATCTAATTTGGACATCAAGGTATCACCCCTTTTTTCTGTTTTGTTCTTTGAATTTGTGTTATTATTTTATTTTGTAAAAAGAAAAGATGCTACTGATATGGCATGTGGTACTGGCCAATGATCAAAGGATTCATGCTTTTAGAAAATTAGAGGCCCAGAGAAAGGCAAACAGCCACTAGGTGATATCGCATCTGGGTTTTTAAATTGAGTAAGTTACTTGTTGTGGTTAAAGAAAGAATAACTATAATTAAGAATTCTTGTAATTTTTGTTTGGTTAATATTTTAATAAAACAGTAGCAGGAAATGCTAAAAAAAAAATATATATATATATATTTGGTAAAAAATCTCCAGGGGTAGTCGAAAGATGTCAGATCTGTAGTTTAGATAGTCTAATATATGTATATATATACTATGATCTAATAAAGAAACTGGTGAGACTGCTGATAGTTTATAAAAAAAATATATATATTTGGTAAAAAAGATACCTTATATAAATGCTTATTTAAATAAATTTTTTTAAATTAACTAATAAATATATTTTTTAATTATAGTTTAAAATATTTATATTTTTTTAATATACTTGTAATTACTAGAATTTTATTATTTGTTGCCATATATTAGCTGCTAAAGTTGCAATTCTTAAGCATTTATTTTTTTAAATAATAATATCTAAATAATTTATAAATTTTAAATTAAATAATTTAAATATTAAATAATCACTTTTACTAAAATATATCTATAGTGTTTTATCACCTATGTTATATTATCTCAAAAACTAGCTAATTAATCAGTATGATGTGTTCTAAGTAAAAATATTCTATATCTCCAAAATCTCTTCCCAAACCCTAATCCTAATCTTAATTTTAACTTTAATATGAAAAAATTAGGTTAAAAATTTTATATACAAAACTTATAAAAATAGAAAATTTTAAAAAATATAATAAAACATATAATAGGTGCAAAACCACTATAGGTGTATTTTATAATAATTGTTAAATAATTTATAATTAAATAATAATTAACAGTAGTACTAAATCGTATTATTGGTACCAACACCAGTATGCTGTGAGATATAAAGATCATTATCAAAACAAATAAATAATAAATTAAAAAAATTAAAATTTAATTAATTGGTGATTTGCCAGTTACCTGATATATGATCATAGTATAAGATAATACAGATTACTATATAAATTACATATATCTCAAATGTGGCGTTCACCCAAGAAAAACTTTTTTCGTACTAAGTTAATTGCTCTTGTGTATTAAGTAAAACTTGTAGAGCTTATCAAGATATATCTAATGATAGTAAAATCATCAAAAACAGTATAGTAGTTGTTAATATATCACTAAAAAAGATTAGCCAACTATATAAAATTCTATATAAACAAACTATTGTTTATATAAAATTTTATATAGTCAGCCAATCATTTTTAATGATATATCGACAACTACTAAACTATTTTTGATGATCTTATCACTATTAAATATACCTTAACAAGCTCTACAAGTTTTACTTAATATACAAGAGCAATTAACTTAGTATAACAAAGTTTTCTTTGGATAAACGCTATATTCAGAATATATGTAATTTATATAGTAATCTGCATTACATTATACTATGATCAGTATTGTCACCTGGCCACTTGGCCAGCTAATGACTGTAGCCAATTGCTGCAGCTATTGGCTAAAATGGGCAATAAAATTTTTTGGCTGATTTGGCCAAAAATATATATTATTTATAAATTACAAATTGGCTTTATTATGATTATATAGTTTTATTATAAATCGATATACAAGTTGATCAAACTATTTGCATCTTTATTTGTAACTATTACTACTCCTAATCATCAGACATAATTTTATTTAAATGAGCCACCAGTAAATAAATATTTAAGATATCACTATAGCGAACTTATTCAAGAAAAATTAATATTATATATTAATTCATATAAGCACTACTATAAAAAAATCTATTATAGCACTTTCAAGAACACCAATTGTATATTTGATTCAATACGTAATATTACAAGTTTCAGGAGTTAAGTTTGTCAAACTTAAATATTTACTTACAGCATTTAAAAATATTTTATTGCTTCTCAGACTTTTATAAAATACTCTTTTTAATTAAAAAAATTCTTTAGTTTTTTGTTACTTTACTGAACCCAATTTAATCTTAGAGCACAAAAGTTAGTTTGTTATGTAAGTTTTTTGAGATATGAACAATTTTAAAAACGAACAATTTTTTTACATTATTCCTGATTGTATTATATTATATTTGATTGCAATTTAATTATTGGTCAATTAACATATATATGGACAAGTCTTCTTGCATCCTGATACTATTAGTAAGATATATTTGCATTGTGAAATATAATTTATTAATTTTATTATATATAACTATATATCAGCTAAATTTATATTTATTTAGAAGTTAAACCCTAAATACATATTACATATAAAATATTTATTCATTATTAAAAGGTGTTCCCAAATCATCAACAAAAATTTTACAAATCTTCTACTTCGCTTTCATATCTATTGTGGAATATGTTTGAGTATATAAATAATCATCTATATCTATATCCATATTGTAATTCAAATCAATACTTTTATTCTCTTATACTTTACTTTCTTGATCTAATAGATTTTCCCACTTATTAATAAAACTATTGAAATTCATAATACACTCATATCAATTTCATCATCTAATTCTCCTGATTCTTTATTCAAATTTTCTCTAAACATTTGTACTTTATTATTAGAAGAAGCTGTATCTACAGACTCATCATCTGAATTATGCAATTCATTAGAACTTGTATTATCAAGTTGATATTGGTAGTTAATTGAAGCTTGAAGCTTACTCATTTTTAATATCTTCAGAAACTACAGTATTTGTAAACTTATAAATTAAATCAAATTATTTTATAAATAATAATAACAATGTACTTACTTACAATTGGCACTATCTATTAGTATGAATAAAACCTATGTATAACCATAACCATTCTATTGAAGCAGCATTTATGCAAATTTCAAATACCTTTTGAGCTACAAAAGCAAGTTCTTTTGCAATTGGTACAGTCCAAAACCAGAATTTAAAAACATCTTTTTCAAAATAATCAATTGATGGTTTATTAAAAGGATATAGCTTTCTGAAAATTTTTATATTCATGTAAAATTGAGTGAGATTTTTAATATAACCAAGCTTTGTAATAATAAATAAACTATTTACTAAGATATACATAATTAAGATTAGTCATATTAGAATTAAATTTTGTTATTTGATATTTTGGATGAAGAGCCAAGACAAAAGAAGAAGTGGTTGTTTCTAATCTTTTTATCTTGATTCTAATCGAGATAATATTCATTGTCCAAGTTTATGATCTTCATAATTTTTTCAAAATTTTACAAAATAACCAAACTCATATAAAACTTCATACATATAAGCTTTATCTTTCTGAAAAAGATCATTTATAATACTATAAGGTATTAAAATATTAACAAGTTTCTGCAATATCTGCCACCAAGTTTCATTTAAAAGAATTATTATGAGATCTTCAGAAAGATATAATGTCTTGTTATCTAATAGTTTAAAAGGGTCAAATTTAGAAGCAAGCATCTAATAAAATAAATAAAAGATTATAAATATTAAATATAATTAAAATATCATAAATATAAAATATAATTAATATACTCTTAATACAAATTTTGATTTGATTAAAGAGCAAAAATACTCAAGATAACTGTTCTATCTTGTATCGTTACTAATCGCTAATGAGAGATATTTTTTATAAAATTCTTTTTGCAGGTCTCTTAATTGACCAATAAAATATTTATGCTGTGCTGAATAAAAATAAGTTGTCACTTTAATTGTATTAACTGACACTTGATAAAATTTATTAGATTCTTTAAAAATTTTGCCCACAAATAAATTCATTTGAGGGGTGTGGCAACTTAGTGTAGTTAGTAAGTTGTCACACCCCAAGCAGCAGGACAAGAGTTCAAATCTTACTGTCAATAAAATTCAAATTTAAGAAATACATTTGAAAAACCGTATTCTATATTAGGTTTGCACCTGTAATGGAGTTGCACTAGTACTAGACTATACTGGAGATAGTGGAAATACTGTGTAATGTATGAGTTACATGACAGTAAAGCTGTCAAATAAAACTAGCAGAGCAGAATACAGAAGCCTGCTTGGCAAAACCTAAATAAATAGATAGTACAGATCTTTGACAGTACTATATAACAATCCGGAAAGAGGAACTGAATAGCAAAAAAAGGGTAACCAGAACAGGATCAAAGTGTTTGGCAAAACACTTTGTCAACCAGACCACCAGGTGAGTAATCAGAGGAAAAAGATCTAGTTGTAGGGACCAGGAGCAGGTTACAGTCCTTCTGGATCATCTGGATTAGAAGTTTAAAGAACCTGAAGTATAGCTTAGTTCAGAAAACCAGAGTATAGGTTGTTAAGTATGTACTGGGTCTTGGCAAACTTTATAAAGGTAGGAGTAGATAATAGTAGCGGCTTTAGCTCGCAAGTTCTTGTTCTCGGACTCGGGTGTAAGTTACTGAAAATCTAGACTAGCCAGATTGTAGGTATAGAAAGTTCTAGTAAGTTTACTTTAAGAGTAACCAACTAGTTAGTGAGCTAGGTCAGTTGTAACCCTATATAAAATTAGGCCTCACAAGAATATAATAGTGCAGAGAGTTTAAATAGATAATCCTCTAGCCAGATTATAGGTATGGTATCTAGTGTAGAATCTTTGGACGGACTATTTAAATAGGCAACTAAAAGTTGTATATATAGCTAGTTGTACTTTCCAATACTCATGTACCAAATAAGTAGTAGCTGCCTAAAAGTGGCTTAGCAAATTAACCCAATAAAGCTTCTGAC